GAGAGCACCAAGGACTCCACAGTTCAACCCTGAGCTACATATATTCTCTTCTATTGGAACAGCAACAGAAATCATGGAAATGTCACTAATAATCCTGCTCTTTACTGCAATTTATCTAATAGTATAAAAGGCTTTTTTTTTTAGATATTGTCAAGCTAAGCAAAAATACATATAATGTACTAGATGCTTTTTATGTTCATACTTAGATGCATATTTTTAGTAACTTTTTGTTCCTGACGGTCATATGAAAAATTAAGTAAAAAGATTTCCGGTTGGCTCCATAATAATCTTTCCTGTAATCTATCTGGAACACTGAGTTTCCTTCAGCTGTTCTTACAGATTTTCTGTTTGGGATGTTAACATCCCTAGATGTTTACTTCAATGTTATTCTAATGATCTCTGAAAAATTTTGACAGTAACTATATAGGTAAGTAAAACGGATGTGTAGAACATTAAGAAATTGTAGTGCAGTTGATGTTTTTGTAATAATCGTTGCTGTGTCATAAATGAGATGTAATACTGGAACTTAATTTGATAGAAATATGTAGTGCTTTTTATTACAAATTATATTCATGAGAAAGTTTTGTTGAAAAACAATCTGAGTATCAATTTTATATTCTTTTGCTTTTTTTCCTGTGAGATTAAATGTTGATGTTTTTGTATTTGAATTGAGAGTAGAGTTATTGTTCTGTAACTATTATAGGTTAGGCCTGTATTGAAACTCTTTTTTTCTGGGACCATTAAAATTACATGCAAGTTCAATTAAGGAAGGGCAATAGGTCTGAATGGGGAAGGATTGTCAGTGAATCATGTCCTTCTTTTCTTGCCATTTTATAAATATTTTCAGTTCTAACCAGTGACACTTTAAAGATTTAATGCACAAGGCTAACTGGGAGGGTTATGAGTTTCAAAAAGGTTACATAAACTCTGTATCTTGCTTTACTGTTTATGGAAGAAAGGGAAACAGATATTATTAATAATGTTAAAAACTGCCACATAGAGTTAGGGATAAATCTCGAAATCTGTGGGCCTTTTGTTAAGAAGGAAATGGAATGGCAGCTCTGTAAGAATAGGTCCAGCATTTGCTTTGGGCTTTTGGTCTAGGTAGAAGAATACAGAGGCAGATGGAACAATAGGAAAATAGCACAATGGGAAAACACCGTAGCTGTATCCTGAATGTTGATATCCCTGGCTGATAATGTTGATATCCCTGGCT